TGCCTGCATTCTGGAAGCTAACTTGTTAGTTTCTAGGTTGGGAGGCTATTGTTCCTGAGAAAAACTAGGGCACTTAGTACCATGTCCCCAAAATGCCCCTTCTGTGTACTCAAGACTGGTGCCAAGACAAGGGGACATTGTAAGCGGACAGGGACCAAAATGTCCACTAAGAATTATCTGATTGGAGGGTGTGGTGGCACATACCTGTCATCCCAGCACTTGGGAGGCTGAGGCACAAGGGTTACCACAAGTTCAAGGTCAGCCTAGGGTACATATTGAGACCCTGTCTCAGAAAAAAAAATTATCTGAGGGACACAGAGAACTGGGCAAATGAGTGTAAGTCAGCTGTCCTTGGAGGCTGGTCACACAAGGGACAAAGCAGCCTTCATGTCCCCACTAGGTAGTATACTCTAGAAACCCCCACCCTGCAATAGCTGGGTATAGCACAGAGCGTCATGGAGGGGTACAGTGCTGTAACCATTGTTGGGCACTTTGTATTCTTTCTGGCAATTTCACTGTCTGGCCCTCTGCCACTAGGTTATGTCCTTTTCTGGTACAGTCAGTTAATGCTGTCCTTTCCTGTTGCTACTTCAGTAAATCTTAGCTCTTGCTGGATGTGGTGGTGCACGCCTGTGATCCCAGGACTCAGGGTGAGGCAGGAAGACCATCACTATTTTGAGGGCAACCTGGGCTACATGGTGAATTCACAGCCAGCCCGAACTCCACTAGCAAGACCCTATTTCCAAAAACAAATCACAGGTATCAATCAGAGTATCAGCCGATACAGAGATTCCCAACACATGGTTCTTTTCACTTTCTCCCAAACAAATGGTGCAGGGGTGTAAGAATGGCAGTTCATTCAATTTCTGTTGAGAGCCTGGACCTTACAAGGCAAATCAAGCAACATTCTGTCACCTGCTGGATTCCCGCGGTATTACATGCATTCTCAAGCAGCATTTTTTTTTTTTTTTTTGAGACAAGATCTCCCTGTCTAGTTCAGGCTGGCCTTGAACTCACTGTGTAGCTGAAGCTGGCCTCAGACTCACAGTGATCCTCCTGCCTCGATCTCCTGAGGGCTGGGATTACAGATGTGTGCCACCATGCCCAGCTTCAAGGTGTTTTTTGAAATGAACCATAAAACCTTTTTCCTCATTGGGAAATTCTCATTTTAAAAGAGAATTTTCAGCCAGCCGTGGTGGCGCGCGTCTGTAATTGCAGCACTCGGGAGGCTGAGGCAGGAGGACTGCCATGAGTTCGAGGCCAACTTGGGCTGCATAAGGGAATTCAAGGCCAGCCTGCACTACATATTTAGACCCTGTCTCAAAAAACAAAACAAAACAAAAAACAGAAGACAAAAAACATTTTCATTCTAGGGTGTAGTTCAGTGTGAGAGCACTTGCTTAGCATGCACAAGGCCCTAAGTCATATCCCCAGCACCACAGAAAAGAAAAAAGACACTTCCCACTATCTTTTATTTTTTGGAGACAACAGGGTCTCACTACATAGCCCAGGCTGGCCCCAAACCCTTGTGCAATCCTCCCG